ACGCATAGACGATGGATAATTCAAAAATAGTAAAAAAATCGATCAATGTGTGAGAGGCGACGCAGTAGTCAGTCACACGTGACTGTCACATGCTTATCCAGACAGGGAACGAGTAGAATGAAAGCGTATAATGCAGAAGAAGACAGATCAGAGTCAGAACAGAAGTTAGCCGGTGATCTACCCGAGACAAGAGAGCCCGGAAAGCATGAAAGTACAGAGAGTGATGTCAGTTGGTCCTACGAGTCACAGGAGCCGGATCAAACCACCGAACTGACACGCCTCTCGAGATTATCACAAATGAATTTGAATGTCGGTTTTCCCAGTAGCTACGCCACGCAACTGATTCAACTGACGGCCGAGGCGGCACAACGTCAAGAAAAGGAAGAGATTGAACAGAGTTGGCAAACGCTGAAAAAGCACAGCAAACTGCGAAGAAAATCCGCAGCACTTTTATCCACCGCGGCTAGAGCAGAACCACTGCTCCCGTTATCAAATGTTGCGAGAAACGCGCTGCATGAATTACAACTGATCTGGATTATGTTTCAATACACTGTGATTGTTGTGTTGTTTAGTAAGTTGACTTGGAATGCAAAACTGCGTGGTCCCGTGGACCAAGTGCCAAAATATTCCGCCTATCGAATGCCCTCTATTCCGGGGCAAGATCAAATGAATACACGTCTGTTGATGTTTGTCATTCTGACAGCGTTCCTCTATCTACCGGCTTGTCTGTTGCACTTTGTCTACGTGTTGGACGATATTCCAGATGAGTGAGTCATACTTGTTTATGTCTAGTAAGTCAGCACGTAACGAAGGAATATATATATATATATATATATACGGTGTGTGTATATACTAGTAATACCCATGAATTAATCATACAAAAAACGAGTTCAAAAACGATTTTAAATCGATAGATGAATTGTTCAGTTCAGATCAGTTCTTACAACCATTAACCATGCACTTTTGTGCGCCGGTTTTGGTTGCCCATTTGGATAAAAGAG